GCTGGCTGCTGGCTACACACGGTAGCCCATGGCAACCCACTGCCACAGGGACTGCAGCCTACACTGTCACCAGCGACTCACGGGCAGCCCAGCTCCAGGTTGAGCTGCTGTTCATCATTTTAGCTGTGGAGGGCAGTGTCACTGGCCCTCATATGTGGGATCCGAACCGGGGCCCTCTGGTGTCCCAAGTCAGTTCTTAACCATCGCGCCACTCGGCCGGCCCCTGCCTTGACTTTTAACTGATTTTTTTCACCTATCCAATATCATCGACTCAGATGTCCTATTCATACAGTAACCAAACTTCCAAGACTTTGTTAATTTCAAACATTCTCTCCTATTATCCCTCTAAACCATCAGTGTCCTAGAGGTTCCATTTATTTTTTCAGTATTAAAGTTACATTTCCTGGATTGTATCTGGCACCAACAAGTGACACAAAAACCTCATTTATCAGATCTTATGGCCTAATTTGGAGTTTGGAAAATATAGTCACCACACCACTAAAAATAATATTCAGGGAATGGGAAAATACCCAAAGCTAGGAAGTGGGAGTAATGATAAGGACCTTCACAAACATTTGTTAGGCCATACTTTGCTCCTGGACCATGATTTAATGTCCTAACTTCTAGATGAGAGACATGTTTGAACCCTTAAAATTAGAAAATGCTAATTGGTTATTAGTGTAATGATTTAGCATTTCTAAAATTAGTTTCAGGTGTAGAAAACAATGTAATAGTTAGACATTTACACCTTTCACAAAGTGATAACCCCCCTCCCCCAATATACTACCCCTCTGACATCATATATAGCTGTTACAATTCCATTGACAATATTCCCTAAACTATACTCCACATCCCGTGACTATATATATATATATATATATATATATATATATATATATATATATATATAAAATTATAGTTGACATTCAATATTATAGAGCTTCAGCTTCAGGTATACAGTGAATGTAAGGGGATTAGAAAGCACAAATTGGCAGCCACAATATTGCCATGGTGATATGAAAGGCAGTTTGGGGAATATAATCAATAATGTTTTAAAGATTTTGTAGGGTGTCAGATGGGCACTTGTCTTATTAGGGACACCACTTCATGGACAGTGTAGATGCCTGACCACTGACCATGATTTAGCATTTTAAATTTTTCAAAAGAATGATTCATTCATTTATTTTGGAGGGCCATAGAAAGGAGTGGGTAAAACTTTCAAAGCTAGTTTTGTTCAAGTGTTTTTTCTTGTTTCTGTCAACTTTGTAAACTGCATGTGTGACATTTTAGTTAATTAGACCATGAGGGAACTAAAATACAGAACAGTCTCCTCAAAGTGGAAATTTGATATATTTCAAATAATTAGGAAATTAATGTTTATTCTGAATTGTGATGCTTTAAGATTATGATCTTATTTTGTTTTGCACAGAAGATCAACAAGAGGAAATAGCTGTCACTAACCTGAAAATTTTACATAGGATCTATCTGGAAACATTCTGCTACTTAATGAGAACTCTAGATGAAGTAGTTCTTAAATTCACTGTTTTCTGTGTTTTTCTTTTTATAAAAAAATTGTATATGTGTGTATGCACACATATGCACATGCACATAATTCAACTACCATTCTTTTAGACTGAGTTTTATCCACAGTTACGAGTTAAATTCTCTTAGGCCTGTGGAAGATTCTGAGTGTCAGTAAACGAGTATGTAGAAGACTATAAGAGTGCTATACCTCAAATTAGAACAATTATTGAAATGAACTATCAACCTTTGAGATCCAAAACTCTGCTGCCCAAATATAGTACTAAACTTTAAATGGGTAAAATGTGTTTCAGAGGAACGTTTACCTTATGCTCATGCAACTTTATTGGAATTTCCCTTTCCTAAGGCTTTGGACTCTTTTGGAATTTTCTGCTTCAGCAACAGAGAATAAAAGCCATGATGTGATGGATAAGCCACACAAGTAAGAAACATAGATGTGGAGTACAGGCCTCCAAAAAAGAATTGAGCTTGCTGAGGATCTGTGCCAGAAGTTGGAAACATCTGAGATGTTAAGAGGTGAGTACTTTTGTGGTTATTGTTATTAAAGTGTGTGTGTGTGTGTGTGTGTGTGTGTAAGTGTAGACTATAGTGAGAAGATTACCATGATCTGTATAATATAACAAGCTGAGGCTACTTTTATGAGAAAATTAAGCTTTCTTTCAGAAAAGTTGAGGTATCAATGCAGTGGTAAAAATCTGATGTACACAGCTAATAAGATTGTCTTCTTAGGTTGAAAAATATGTAGGCTTTTGTAACAAAATCAGCCTAGGAGGGAGTGAGAGAAAAGGAACTGTTCTTTATTGAGCTTTACTAATCAAGTACCAAGTGCTTTACATGTGTTATCCCGTTTAATCCTCATAACAACCCTATGAAGTACATACTATTATCATCTCCACGTTACACGGAGAAAACAGTCTTGAGCGGGTTATTTACTTGCCTAAGTTCATGTAGCTATTAAGTTCAGGGTTGTGTTTTAGATCCAGGTCTCTCAGAACTCTAACACTGTACTTAGAGAGGACTAAATATCTAAGAGAAAACTATGATTATATCATTTCATGGTTTTCTTATGAAGAATTGTACCCCTACTTCGTTTTAGTTTTCTCAGGAAAATTTTTTACATAGTATTGTATATTCAGAAAATGCTTCAGCAATCCCAATATATGCAATTGAAGAAAAATCAGCACTGGGGATAGAAGCAACCATTCTCAAGCAATGAAACAGCTGTGGCTCTGACTTTTTTTTCCTTTTTCCTTCTTCATTTTTCCACATATTATGTAAATGTAAACCAACTTTTCCAGAGCAGTTATACCCTGTGTATAAATGAAGCCTTCCATTTTGATATATGTTCAATTTATTTAGCTAAAGCAGCAATGCGATGTTCATTCCAACTGATTCTAGACGCATGTCACATACTTTTGGACGTTTGTTCAGTCTAAGAAATTTAAGCCTCTTTTATTTTTATACCTTAGAAACATTTAGGTAGTTTCAAAGGTGGAAGTATTAGTCTGTTCTTATTAAGTTACAGCCTTAGAACATATCCTGCATGGCATTTATTAAGTTTTAATTACATCTTTACTAATATTTTTCAGAGTTCACTAAGTGTGCCAAAGTTATAGGCAACTGTGGTATAGTGGCAAGATCTCTTGATTTGAAATCAGAGAATCTGAATTAAAATGTCAGCCTTGCCTCTTATTTACTATGTAAATTTGGGTAATATGAAATCTCTCTGATCCTCAGTTTTCTCATCTGTAATATGAGGATAATAATCCCTGTCTCATATACTTGGTGCAAGAATAACTTGATATAATAAATGTGAATGTACTTTGTAGACAATAAAATTCTAACGCAATGTAAGAAGAAAGAGAATCAAATGAACAGTAAGGGAGCACCTACCACTGTGATAATTAGTTGATAACTTATTTTCTCTTTGTTTCTCCCAACAAGAATAAGGCCCGCATATTTCTGAGAAAGACAAGCATGCCCCTCACGGGGTCACTTTTCCCATCTCTCCTATGTTTTGCCCCAGGAACAATGCAGTAGTTGACAAGATACTGGCAGGAAAGTAAAAATGTATGGAAGAACTGCCTCCTAGTTAATTTTCTTCATGTAAAGTGACCTCTCATCAAGGAGAAACCTGCTTAACAATACATATCAATATCTTGGTTCAGGGCAATTAAAGGCACTTTTGGGATAGACAGTAGTTTCATAACAAAACCCAAAAGGACCATTGAGAAGAGACATTGTGGTAGAGGAGGAAAGGCACTGGACTGGAAGAAAGGGGATCAGAGTGCCAATCCTGGTTTTGCTACTAATTGCATAATCTGAGGCAAGTCCGTTTTTCCTCTTGGCCTCTATGCAGTTATGTGGAGTAGACTAGATTATCTCCAAGGTCTATGTCAGCATTGATAATCTGTGATCCTATTTTTAATTATAATAAAAATATTAAAATTGTATAGATTTTAGGATACCATTTTACACTTCAAAGGAAAAAGGGAAAATTACACAAATTGTTTCTACATTGTGTTATAATAAACATTCATTTACGTTAATAGCTTTATTGGGGTATAATTAACATAATTTTTTACATTTTTAAAGTATTTTAAGATCTAGCATCTCCTTTGAGTCTCAAAATAATGGCATTTCTTCACTTATCATTACATAATAAATTAAAAAACTGAGGATCAAAGAATTTATAATAAATTAAGAGTTTCATAATAAATTAAGAAACTGAGGTTGAAAACTTTATAGAGTCACATAGTTAGTACCTGATAGAGACAGAAATCCAATTCTGGTCTGTCTGTCTCTAAGCCCAATGTTTTCCCACTACACCAACCTACCTAGGTGATTTTATCCAGGCTTAGAATAAGTGGAATTCTTTTAGAAAATGAATTTTAAAGAAAACTTACAGTTTTTTCATTATTAAAAGTAAAGAATAAGGACAACTTTTAAAAAGATTTTTATTGGGGAATTGGGGGATGGGAACAGCTCTGGGGAGTTGGGGGAAGGGGAACAGACAAGTTGCTATCCTTTTGTTCTTCAGTCTAGTTGTGGAGGACGTTGCTTCACTGGCCCAAGT